AAATGAAAGCAGAAGCAATCTTTCTATGATTGAAAAGAAGCTAAAAATATATGTTTCTTAAAAACTGTAAAAGCAGAAGTAGAGAATTATTTTTTTCAAGACCACAATATCTCTTCCATATATACATATTTACCAATATATCACTTATTTATTAATTAGCATATCTCATAAGTTTGGTTAAGTTTCATTTAAGAATTTTATTTTTTTATTTTTATATAATTTATTTTATATTTTATACATTATTTTACATATTATTTTGCAAGATTATAAAAAAAAGTAACAACAATATTTTCATAGAATTATAGCAATATTTAATTTATTTATTTATCTATGTATAATATTATTGAAAATTTGAATACGTACACTTTCATCTAATTAAAAAAATTATAATAGATATTCAAAATAGTTTCACTATATAAAATAATCTTAATATTAAAAGTACATTGATACTTGTCTTTCTTCGTAATTTAATTTTGAAAGCACTTTAAAAAAAAATATTAGTCAAACACAATCTGCTTATCAAAAGTATTTTTCAAATGAATAGTCAAACACAAATTATTTTTTTCAAAAGCACTTTTCTAAAAAGCTATTTTGAAAAAACTTTTAAAAACAAGATATTTTTAGCGGTAATGTCAATCATGGTATGTCTACTCCGGCAAAATATTGCTCAGTCTTCAACAATATAAATAATCTAAACAAATTTCTTTGTCACCATACAACAGCTGACTTTGCAAAAGGGCAATAGAGAAGAGTTGACAAATTAATTGAAATAAACAAATTAATTTATTAGCAATAATTGATGATGAAACTATATATATTCAATTGCAATTTCCCAAATAAGTAGTTTACTTTTGCCTTTTTTTCACTAACGAAAGCCATCAAAAAAATAAAATAATGAAAACTTGATCGTTACTTTAAATAATGTGGTACAAATTATTACTCCGAGATACAATTATTAGTCTGAGATACAATTGATGTATCTGGCTCAAACGCAATTTCACCATTAATGCTACATCCAAAATTGTGATCTTTTGTTATTATGCACAATGGATATAACCCACAATTTGTTTGACGTCTTTTCAATTCCATAAAAAACATCATGCCCATCTAGTTTCGGATTTCGATTGGAGTTAGACTGTCTTTCATCGTGTATCTGATCTCCATTATTTTTTAGTACAATCGATTTCTAATTGTTTTGAAATACCATCCACTAGATTGTTGTAGTTTGCATCATCTCTCAAAAGTTTTCCATCAATTTTATAATTTTCATAATCAATTCTAGAGACCCATGAACCGGAATGCCTCAACAATACTGTGATATTCGACATTTGCAAAAGAAATCTCAAAAAATTTAAGATTCAAAAGAATGATTTGATGAAGAAGATGAAGTTCAACCTTTTAGATTAATAATTTTGATGATATCAGTTGATAAGATGGATCCACTAATGTCACACCCCGAGTGTACACCCTAGGCAGGACTGGCATTCGAGAACCATTTCTTTCCCCAAGCAAACCCTTGGCCTGGCTAGACTCTCAGCGGAAGACTTTAAGCATTATTACAAGGATCAAATGCATTTATAAAACAATTGTCTCAAATTAAACTCAGAACGTTTAAGGATAAAACATTCAAAATAGCCATAGATGGCAACTCAAGTCTTATAGCAAAACATCTGAAATACAAGACTAAAGAACTCTGACTACTTGTCTATGAAGCCTCTAAAACAAAGAGGGATATTGGGACAAGATTCCCGATCATCCTAACAACTGAAATACTAAAACAATATAACAGGAGTCTTTCAGAAAGCAAGGAGGCTCACCAACTAACTTTGAATGCTTAACTGGATCAACGAAGCGCTGGATGCTAATCCTGGTCACCTGTGTCTGCATCATAAAACGATGCAGGCCAAAAAGTATCAGTACATTGAATGTACGAGTATGCAAGGGGAATACTAAACGAGACATAAGCTTGAAAGGAATCTGAAAAGAGCACTTACCTTGGCTTTACTCAACTCATGAATAACTCAACTCAAATGCAAAGTAAAAACAACAATAATGGTGCAGTTTATACAAAGCATTTAAAATAAATAAGTGGTAACTCAATGTATTAAAGAGATACAATAACAACTCAGTTTACTCAGTAATGTAATACTGTGGGAGTTTCTCTAACCGACAACCACCACTATGAGCATAAGTGATGATACAACGTCTCGTCCACGCTGCCAGAATTGTCATATACTTTGCCGTCATATAAAACACCTCAATTAAGTGGATTCACTAGTCTATGCTAAAAAGCACTAAGGAATCATCTAAAAAGTATGATCTTTTCTACCCATGATGGCTACATGGTTTATGGAGACTTGAGTTATTATGAACTGGCGTCCCTATATCGGTGCTCAATACTACTCCCAAAAGATACTCAACTCATATGTTTTAAAAACAAAACTCTTTCTGTGATTTGAGATAATTACTCAAAAACTAGCTCAAAAACTCTCTTGGAAATCAGTTTTTCCTCTCTTGTTTAAATGTGAAAACATTTACTCTTTGGGAATACTTAGTTCCCATATACTTTTTTTGAAGAAACGAACTTCATTAGTTACTCTTACTTAACTCAAAACTCAAGTCTTAAAATAAGATTAAAACATTTGTAAAAGACTTCTTGGAAAGACTCTATGAACTTTCTATACTTGGCTCTTAACTTTCTTTGAATTGGAATTTATGGATTCAAGGTTATGATTCAAGTTTATGAATGATTTGTAAGTGTTTAGAAGTCATTTAGAGTAGTTAGAATCAATAGAAAGTGTCAGTGCACTTTAGAAGGACTTAAACGGACTAAACGACAAAAAATGGGTGGGGACAGACGACCCGGGCGCGTTCCTGGCGTGCCGCGCCATCCCCTAAGTTACTGGGGCTCATTTCTAGCGCATTGCTGGCGGGCCGCCCCAGTCTTCCTGGCGTGTTGCGCCAACATTCCCCAAGGCGAATCTGACGAATTTTTCCTCTCGTTTTCATACCTTAATTCTATTAATTTCGATTATTTTTCTCAATATATCTTTAGATTCAGGTACCCACTACATAAACACAAGAATCTAACTCAAGGAAACTCTAATAATCGCCATTAGACTCTCAAGAACTCCTCAATCTCAACCCAAATTCAAACAGAAAGCAATTCAAGAACACCCATCAAGAACATTCAAACTTCCAATTTTTTTAGGACGAATTCATGCTGAAATAAACATGTTTGACACGTGGGCGAACGAACCCAACGTTATGAAAGTCTCACATACCTCGTAGTATCAAATCCTTGATGAAATCCGCAATCAATTCCTTACGAAGACGACTTGATTTTCCTCTTCTCTTCTCTCTTGAGTTCTTCTCTCTAAAGCCCTAGCGTGAATTTTCAATTGTGCGAACTGAAGCAATTCAGTTTTGACCCTAATTAATTCACTAAAAACGAATTAAATCAAGTGGGTATGGAAAAGACCAAAATACCCCTTAAAAATTCGGATTAGACTTTCCTTATTTAAACATCCCAACTTCAAATGGACATATCTCACTCATACGAACTTGGAATCGCGCAAACTCAGCGGCGTTGGAAAGATAATTCAAAGATCTTTCATATGGTATCTGGAAACACACGTAAATCATATTGAGCTAGGAGTTATGATCGTTTGAATTTGACCAAAAACTCAAACTTAACCAATTTTTCAGATTTTTCGTTCTTTCCAAAAATGACTCTTTCTAATTCTAGCTCTTTCTAGTTCTTTCAATTAGCGAGATGTTACAACTAATTACGTTATGGTTGTTAATTTCCCAGAACTTACTCCCGTAATTAAGGGAACAGTTAATTCAAATTAATTAAAACACTTATCACATCCTTCAAAACATGTATCCCGTAATAGAGTCATGTATCTTACGGTTTACTACTAATGTATCTTATGAACGAAAAATGGTATAAGGAGTAATATTGAAAACTAACGGTATTTCTAGTAATTATGATCTAAAGTAGTGGAATTTATGTAGTTTACCCTTAATTTATCTATAAATGACGTGGTAACTTCAGTAAGATTATATCTACAAGTATTAATTATACTTAATCCTAGTGCTAGATCGATAATTTAGAGTGCCTTATATTCACAAACTACTTGTATCATATTAGTTCGATATGAATGGAAATTATGCTTCTTCAATAGAACTTGATAGCGAGGGAGAATGTATTTGAGCTTGCTCTACCACTGGAAGTACCTTCGATTTCTTGAAATAGTTCCCCTTTGCTCCACTTGTTTTGTGACGTGAGACGGCTTACTAATAATTCAAAATGTTTCTTTCATCCACCCATTTTGACACAACTTTCGTGCCTCACATACATTCATCTGTAGTTGAATTTAATTAGGACATGCTTGCTATCCATCAGAAAATGTAATTTGATTTTATAATGAAACGTGGTATTCTGATGTTATAAAAATATCGTATCACCTTTACTAATAAGACTAGTATATATGTAGATTTGAGTGTAGCTCCACTCAAGTAAAAAAAAAAATTGTTTGAGAAAATGGCAAAAGTGAATCTTATGTTTGAAGTAATTTTAAAATAGCCCCTTACTATATTCTTAAACATTTTTTGTCCCAGAATTTTTCAAAAGTGAACAAATTTTAATCTTTATAAAATATTTAACAAACTATTATTTTTAAAAACGTTTAATATACTCTTCAATTTTGAAATTTAGAGATGATATATCACTCATTATAAAAGTATCTCATATATATTTTTATCCTTACACAAATGGCCTAGATATATCTTTAGACGAAAATGATATGTTTGAATCATTTGTAATGATAGGATATATGTAAGTCACGTTCATAACAAATGTTAAATCAAACTGTAAGTGACAAAATTGAGAAGTAATCTTAATTAAAAAAAAGCCACAATGGGCCCCAAATATGTATGTATCATCACCTTCACTTGTTCTCAAAAAACAACCATTGCCCATATATCCAAATACAGCCCACAAGTTCCACATTAATCAGATAGCAGAAATGGCAGTTTCTTCACTATCCTTTACATTACCTAAGCTTCAAACCTTCACTCCAAAACCCACCATTGCAGCAACTTTTAAGGCTTCTTCTTCACATGAATCAACTCCTTTTATCAACCAGAAGCAAATTTTCCAAATGGGTGTTGGAATTTTGGCTGCTTCAATAGTGGCTTCAGCACCTTTAAATGCTGATGCTACCAGAATTGAATACTATGCCACTACTGCTGAACCCACTTGTGAGTTCAATTTTGTCCGCTCTGGACTTGGGTATTGTGACATTGCTGTTGGGTCTGGTGAAGAGGCTCCATATAATAAGCTCGTTAATGTAAGTTTGTAAGTTTGTATGTTTATTGAAGCTTAAACACTAGCATTTTCGTGTGTTTTGCCGTTTGCCGTTTGCCGTTGATGCATATTGTTGGAATTGCTGTACAATTTCTCCTAAAGTTCGTTTATTTTACAATTTAAAATTGACATTTTGCTTTCAAGAATTCAATGGTGCAGAGAATGTTGCGGTCTGTTGTTATTTCATGATGTGAGTTAGAATCAATTCCTAACACTTTTGGTCTCTGTCAAATATTTCGGAACTCCACCTGTTAGATTTGTGTTTTCTTGATAATCGTGGTGTTTGGGGGCCTATTTGTGCGCGCAACTCAACTAATTCCACGAGATAACTTTCACCCGCAACAGCTATTGGGTAACTTTATCCACCAAAACTGCTATTAGGCAAAAAATAAAATAAGCGGGAACTCATATTAAGAAGTAGCACAATTTTTGTTGTTCTACTACTTTAAATTTATTTCTAGAGTGTGGTGCAGTTTTCCAGGTGTAATTTCTGCTATTTTTCTTAGTATTTTTTTAGTGTCTACTGTAACTTTTTGTGTTGCATATTTTAGGATTTGATGAAATTTTTTTGGTGTTTATAGTTAATTTTTTTGGCTCAACTTCATATTACAGAGGACATGACTCTAGATAGGAAGGAGTGGAGGTTGCGTACTAGGGTAGAAGGTTTGTAGGGGTGAAGTGTTGTCTTGCCATGCGTAGGTTTAGGCTTGTTAGTGTCTGTTGTGTACTAGTCGTACCCTTGTAGTTCTTGTCTTATGTAGTGTATTGTGTTTCGATTATGACACTATTTTATTGTTATTATTGTTTCTTTCTTGTAGATTTTACAATGTTTTTCTTATTAATCACTATGCTTTCTTCATCATTTTCTTCTTCTTTTATTTGAGTTTGATGCACTTGAGTTGAGGGTTCTTCGGAAACAGCCTCTCTACCTCCTCGGGGTAGCGGTAAGTTTTGTATACACTCTACCCTCCCCAGACCTCAGACCTCAGTTAGTGGGATTTCATTGGGTATGTTGTTGTTCCATCAAATCTAATTGACAAAGTTCGGTAAATTTTTGCAGAGAGAAACTGCTAAACTTTTGACAAACTTAAAGGACCAAAATTGTTAGGTACATACTTAAGGAGCTATTTTAACCTATCCTCAAACACAAGGTGTTATTTTGTGATGCCACCTATGTATTGAAAAAACTAGATTCTTCAGCAACTATGTAAGAAGTAAATGCGGAATGAAGTAAATCAACACAAGAATTTTTTTCATGAAAAAACTCCTCTCCCAGGAGTAAAAGAGTAAGACCTACCTCATAGAATTTCCCTCTCAAATTACCACCAAATTTGAGTTACAATTTTAGGTTACAACTAATCAAGGAGCTAACCACTGTACACCTATCCCTTTCTACAATTCTCCCCAACTGTAGCTCACTTCTTCAACAACATCATGACACTTTATATAGGAATAGATGACTGCTTCTTGTTTTTCCAACAAGGATTAGTTCATGAATCCAAGATTCTAATCCAAGTTTGATTAGGTTCTTCCTTCACACATCAACGACTGTTTTGCTCCTATTTCCAAAGCTTTTCCCATGTATCCAAATATGATAATGCTGCCATATTCTTTTCTTGTTCCTTGCTTGATTGGATTATCCGCAATCCTAATTCCTTAAGGAATCCTTCTACGCACTTGGAATCTGCTTTACCATCTATCAACTGTCTTCTTCAAGTCTACTGTGAAGGACCTGGTTCCTTCCCTCCTAGCAGTATACTCTTGATATCATTTGTTGTAGTAGACATATTAAGGAACTGGTTCTTCAATAGTTCTTTGTCATAATCACTACCAGTCCTTTTTGAGTCATGTATGATATATGATTGTTGCATGTGTTTGTTATGTTTTGCTAATCATTTTGTTAATCATCAAAATTTCATATTGTTAGCATAGCTCATTGCTCTCTAGCTCACATAACTCTCCCTAGCTAATGTAGCTCAACTTAAGGGATCATTTTTGTCATTTTCTCGTTTCTTGATTATCCTAACAAGTTTCTTCCATGAGGTTCTAAGGTTGTAGTATTATTGTTGGAATAACAAAAGAAAAAAATTATATGTACAAATATATTTCTTTTCTCTGGCATGATACCGTGAAAATGAAATTCAAAAATATGTGGTTGATATGTCATTTTGAAAGTCAAAAAAAAAAAAAACTTGATTAAAAAAAATAAAAATAAAAGAGTTAACTTTAACGATGTTAAAAATATTTAAACAATCAGGTTACCTATAAGGTAATTACATATAAATTTTTGTGAGAAGATTAACCAGTAACTTGGTAAAATCGATAATTGACCTGTGATCACAGGTTAAATTAGACTGATGGTGTAAAAATTCTATACACGGGCGGATAAAAGGAAAAAGAGTTGATTTTTGTCTTCTATTGTTCATCGAACAGAGGAGAATAATGAGAAAGATAAATTGAAGTTACTAGAGGATTGCATCTCTAGTATTTTGTGCTTAAAGACGAGATTGAGGGAATAAAGAAGAAATGGTCATTGTTTGCTTTTTACTTTCCTCATGAGGACATACCACTGCCTCTTTAGTCACACAGGAAAAGAAAATTTTGTTTTGTGTATCTAATATCTCCTCTATTTTTTCTTGAACTTGAGAATGGTTTGTTGAGTATCCTATTCATGCAGATTCACTATACTGCAAGGTTTGCGGATGGTATAGTTTTTGACAGCAGCTATAAACGTGGTCGAGCCCTTACCATGCGCCTCGGCATGGGCAAGGTATGTTACCATTAGGGTCCGATGTAAGTAATTGTAACTGGTGGTATATAATGTGATCTGTATTACCTTCTGTATTGCTTGTCTGTCCCAGATTATAAAATTAGGACCAGTTATCTATCAGGCAGACAGTTGAGAAGGTTTTCATATATCTTTAGTTCAATACACTATGTGCATCAAAACATCATAAACAATGTATGAAGCTGGATGAATATCTATGTACTGACAAAACTAAATATGCTAGCAGTTTGAAGAGAACAATGTAAAAGACACTGCCATTGGATTTAGCAACTGTTAGGGCATTATCATCCACGTAGTATCATCAATTTTCATTTCCACTGTTTTCTTGACTTCCTTAAATTTTTTAAAGTTGAAAGTAGTTATACTTTTGATACAATATCTTACTTTACAAAAGCGAGTCTCTGTCAAGCACTACCATCGTCCAACTTCACAGGGGCGTATTTAAGGGGGTGCCGTGGGTTCACGTGAACCCATGCTCCCCTCTCTAGATCATATATAATCGTGTTATATTTTTTTAAAATATTTAAATATAAATGTCTGAACCCACGTTTAAAGTATCATATAATAATACAAATAATGATTGAGTGCACCTCTCTAAGTAAGGATAAAAATTTAAGTCTTATATCTATCTTGTCCTTTTGAGTAACACCTCCCCAAGTGGTTATCGATTATACTTTTGACGTTTCAACTAATTTTTCTTTTGTTTTTTTTTTCCTTTAATCTTTCAAAATTTTCAAGTGCCTTACATTGGAAGTTCCTAAAAAACTTTGCACTATAAGATTTTTATATAATTAAACCAAATGTGTATATTAAAATTTAAAACTAATAGTATCATATATTTTGGACACATAATTTTTAAAATTTAATGGTTCATATTAAGAACCTAAAAGTCAAACTTATCAAATTTATATTTAAGATGCATTTTTTCGTATTCGTTCACCCATCTTGACGAATTCCTGGATACGCCTCTGCAACTTCACTAGACTTTTCGGCTCTATTAGGCTAGTCTTTCCCTCTATTAACATCTTCCCTATTCCTCTGCTCTCTCAATTCATAATTTTTGCTACCAAGATCTTTTATCCATGCTTATCAAAAAATAGAAAAAAAAATTGTTTATCCTCACAAAAGAGAAGGAAAAGGAATGAAGAATAAGAGAAGCTCGCAGAAAGGAAACAACCATGTTTTGGGATATGAAATGGAGTAGAATGAAATAAGTTTATTTCCATGTAGCGTCAACAACCTCATTTGATTATTGACTAAAGGAAGACATAAATAATGTGCTGATAACCAATTCTTTCAGTAAGCCATCACTTCTTTCTGTTATGGAATCTCTTATATATATGCTGATAACCAATTTACACCTCAAATTGCAATAAGATGGCATCCAAGAGCTTTATCTGAGGCTCATATAGAAGGTATACATGAATAAGAAACATAAACGAGAAACTAAATGAAGAATATAGTTTAATTTTTTGCAATATCTTATCTACAATTTCTGAACTCCAGAGCATGTTGTTGACAGGTGATCAAGGGATTAGATCAGGGAATCTTGGGAGGTGAAGGGGTACCACCAATGCTAGTTGGTAAGATTTTACAGCTAATTAGAGCCTCCTGTGGATCTTTTGCTTGTTTCTTTTTAGTATTCCCAGTATAGTTCACTTTAGAAATTTTAATACATAGGTGGCAAACGTAAGCTTCAGATTCCTCCACATTTGGCGTATGGACCAGAACCAGCAGGCTGCTTTTCAGGTGTGTTTGTGATACGTTTTAAATGCATTATATTGTTTGGTTCCTTGAGACAAATATCATCTCGCACATCAGATGATAAGGCCTATTCTTTAATTTCTTTCTCTTGAAACAAGCTAGCAGAAATGAGTTGTAATTTTTTTTCCTTTGGTTAACTGGTGACATCAGAATGTATCAAAACTATTAGAGAAGAAAACTTGCATTTTTTGTTGAAATATAAAGAACACTTAATTGCAAGTAGCATCTTAAACAACTTTGCTTACTATGTTCTAAAGGATGGATGTGAATAGGTATGCAATTTCTCTTCATAATCTTAATCAATGTATATTCCTCATTTACATGGTCTAGGCTACCATTGGCCTTGTGAGGCTGAGAAGGACTCATCTACCCAGTTTCATTGTGTTACTCATCTAACCTTTTTCATCTCTCTAAATAAAAAGAAGATATTCAGTTTGTCGCGATAGCAGTTGTTTACACATTAATAAAGATAAATGTTTTTTTATCTGTGTAGGAGACTGCAATATTCCTGGAAATGCAACACTTGTATATGACATCAAATTCGTTGAATTATACTCTGGAAACAGGAAAATGTGATATGATGAGAAATCTGAAGCTCAAGCACAACTAGTGAGTTCCTAAGACACCTTGTGATTAAGGTTTTCTTCCTTACTTGTTTTGTTATATCATGGTGTCACACTTGCTTTTGTACTCCCTCCCTCCTTTCCAATCTGGATGTCCCTATTAAGTGTTACTATATGAGACTTGCCTATATGAGATTCAGGATGATAGTTAAAAACTTAAAATGTATAGATAATGGAGTGTCAAAGAAATATCACACCTAGTTAAAAGTTGATTTGAGCATGTGATTATTTAGTCTGTATCTGCATAAAAAAAAAAAAAAAGCATCACCCTTTGGGGTGGCCAGTGGTTTGGGCTTGGAACTTCCATGTTGGAAATCTCAAGTTCAAAACCCCTTGCCAGCAAAAGCAATGGGTTTGCCTTCTGGGTCGAGCTCATCGCACCGGGATTGCCTAGTGCGGGTTACCTCTCTTGTGTTGTTTGCGAGCTATTGCATAGGAGCGGGGGTTTTACCCTGTGCGTACCCAAAAGGTAGCGGCTGCAGGTTTCCCTTGTCATAAAAAAAAAAAAACTAACAAAAATAAAAGGTATAAATTTATATATAAACTATGCCTAATTCCCAAACTAGTTGGGTTAACTGTATGAGTCCTCGAATTAGTTTGACTATAGTTACGCTAACCTTCATCGTTCTGTACATCTCCTTTATCTAGGCTTGTGACCTGTTTACTTTGCACATATGCGGGATTTGTATGTTTACATTTATAGTTAGAATTATCATATTAGGGATTTCCATTCCCAAAGAAGGTCAAGTAGCTTGGGGATAAGGGAAAAAAAAGTAGGTCTTAAAAAATAAAGAAGGGGTTGGGGAGAAGTAGCTGATTAACTGGGAGTCTGGGACAGAGAAAGTAGCACACAACGTTTTTTTCGGGGGGAACTTCATGAGACATAAAAAAAAAAATTGCATCTACTAACATGTCATTGCTAAATGATTCCCGTGCATGATTTTTCCAGTGGCTTATCATACTATGTTTATAATTGATGAATTAAGCAAAAGTTAATTGCAAATACGGAAAAGAGAAGATTAAAAGGAAGAATGAGTTACTGTTGCTGATTACTAGCAGACTGGTAGCTCTCTTAATTACTGTGCCTAGAGAGAGTTTCCAACAAAACTAGATATTCAACATAGTTATTCAGCAGGAGAGTAATGCCTGCAACTTTCAGAACAGAGCTCCGACATCATTGTACAAAAGGAGTGTGTTCATTTTCTAAGCAGGAAATGCCATACAACCAGATATCAGGAAAGTCAAAGAAAGACTGATGAGTGATTTCCAGGTTTACCCAGTCCCTTGTTTCATTCTAATAAATGAACTCAGGATGACTCGATATAAATATTCTATCTTCTGAACTCTAGCTGGCTTTGGTGATGTTTGCTCAAGAAAGACACTAAAGTAAAATCCCGCTCCCTCTGGGTCTGTTACACTTCTTAAAGAAATAGAATAAAGTACAATTTTCTAGATAAGTCGTCTGTAATAAGCTCAATATAAAAGTAGAACAACCTGTTATTGTTCCTGTTTACCACATCCTTTTTTCATCAGTAAAGGGTAGATTTTTTGAATAAATGTAGTACCAAGCTAGTACTGAGCTAAGAATAAAACATTTCTAAGGAATACCCCGAAAGCTGAAAGCATTCCAAAAAGTTCAGCTTACAGTAATATTAGTAGCAAAATCAGCAGTATACGATGTGTTTTTAACTCTGGATAAATATTTTTTTCCACAGTGAAGAATTCTTCTCCTTCCCCTCGAAGCATCTGCAGTTTTTCTCAATCCAATTACTTGTTAAGAAAATGGACAGTGGGCCAAACTCAACCTCAAAAGCTAGCTCATGAGGTGAAGATTCAATTGTCTATCCCCAAACATTGTTGGGACTACTTACAAACCCCGCATGCCCAGGCTTACTGATTGGAGCATGGACAACATAAAATGGAGGCCCAACATCAATAAATTAAAATTTGGGATTGTCTAGTTCCGATACATATTAAGAAAATGGACTTTGGCCTAAATCAACCCTAAAAGCTAGCTCATGAAGTGACTATTGCCCAATTGCCCACCCCACAAACAGTGTGGGACTACTACGAATACTCCACATCATGCAAAATGGAATGGTCTTCCAGTCTTCTTTGTCTCTTTCCTCATTTTCTGGCTTTGCCAACTGTATAGGACTTGCTTTACATTTGTTGGTGTAACCCATTGGACTCCACAAAGGTTGAGAAACACACACCAGAGTTAGTATCCAAAGATCACGCCACCACCTTTGGAAACGTTAATAAGGAGATATTGGTTGGACATACAATCTGCCTTGACTCTATTGCACTCTGGTCTAGCTAGCACCTCTAGTTGAAATGCTGACCCATCCACAATAGCCACTGTAGTTAACGATAAAAAAAACAACCATCGTTGTTAGTGAACATCAGATGCCACTTTCAAGTATTCACCAGTTGTTTAGTTTTATGGTGAATTTCTTCGAGTATTGGACTCTGCTACGCCAAAATGTTTTGTATGTTGTGGATGTATAGGAAATCATGGTGACTGTTACCTACAATGATAATAGTGATAAAAATGTAGAGTGATTTTAGATAGAGAGATTTGGTTTCCTAACTTTTGGCACCATAATTGGTTAGATCAAGGAAGCATGTGAGGAAACTATATTCCGGTAAAGCAGCCGTATTCATATCGTTAAGAACATCAATTTTCATTTGAATGGCATAGTAAGCACTCATCCTCTGTGTGTTCCCTCTCATTTGGCATGAGATACATGTTTAGAGCTACTTGAAATCTGTGGGCTTACAGAGTAAGAACTTTCAATATCTTGTAGGTTGCATAACTAATACTTGAAGATCTTATGCAGAAAATATTGACTTCTCATTTCTTCAATGTTGTTGGGGCTTGTTTAATATACTGACATATTGTTGATCTCTTGACATAGGATCCACCCAGAATTAGTTTGAATGAAGATACAGAGCAAAAGGTGACAGAATATTTTTCTAGAGGGAATAAAAGTAAGCCAAGAAACAGATGTTTTTTTTTTCATACAAGATGCAACTTAACTAATGGTGAGGAATGCTTGCAGGTGCCAACTTTCTGGTATCATTTTTGAGCTGGCAATCTAAGTTCCTAACATTGTGTATAATTGACTGTTGTACTTGATTAAAGTATATGCAAACTAGAGTTTTATGTTCAAAATACTTGAAAATCTTGTATAATTATTTTATGTATATTTTGTGACGGATACTTGAAAATCGTGTATATTTATATCATGTATATTTTGTGACGAATACCGTTGAAATTAAATGTAAGTTCATCGTTCACCTATATAACATGAAGTCGAAAAGAGTTGGGACAGTTCCATTTGTCCTCTTTTCCTTTCTTTTTCAATAATAATGATGTATGGGCCAGTTTTGCCTCATCTCGACTTTTTAATTGGTTACAACTTACACGTTACCTCTCATCAATGCAGGGCAACTCTTCCCTTCAAGGCATACATAGATAGGAAGAAATCACCTAGCATTTTTTTTGTTTTTGTAACAAAAGTAATTGAACTCTGGTCTCTTGAATTTTGACCAATCATCGACTGTTAAGCCATCTCCTTGAAAATATTTATATTATTTCTGATGATGAGTGACTCGAGTCCAATGTGAGCTTACGGACGAGTAGTTGTATGTTGAATTAGGTACCACGACGGTACAGAACATAGACACCTAAGATCCTCTATAGGTCATGGCTAGTTTGGCAAGATTAAAGAATTGATAGATTTCACTGTCATAAGACATATTAATAGTTTCCTATTCTAAATAGAAAGAAAGTTAAATTTGTCTAAATAGTAGACATAAGGAAGCGGAGGATAAATGCGGGAAAGAAAAAATCTCTTATCCATTCTAATTAAATGACAATGTAGGAGTAAATTCAACTAGAAAAACTCACACTGGGCTTAGGGATAATCAAGCTTATTCTGGTGAAGTTTCAAATTAGAAGAACTCAAGAAGTTTTTGTTGAATTATGATACAGAAGAAAAAAGAGTTAGCATGTGTGTAGAGATAAGTGACTGTGTGAGTGATAGATGAGACTGATGAGATACCAAAGCTATAAAGTTGTGAATCAATGTGGATATAATTCCATGACTGTGTGTGACTGCTTATTAATTGCAGAGTTTTGTGATAACTGCGATATATGTTTTTGGTGACTTATATGTCTAGTGATGGTTTGACATTGATATGTCAGAATGAGGTTGTTTGTCATGTTGATGTTGACTACTCGTATTGTTGAGTTATTGATTACGTATTGCGGTACATGTCTACTTATATATATATCGGAAAATATAATTGGCAAGACAGATTTTTGGCACGAAATGACATGAGCAACAAAAATCAGGTATTTTCGTAATTTTGGTGAAATGTTAAGGGCATTTGGATAAATTCATTTATTTCGTGTACCTAAATTACCTCAAAAGTAAAACCACTTTTAATACTTTTAAGAAAAATTTTATTATGTGTGAGGCACACTTATTACGTGCTAGACAATACTTGTATTAGATCCTTTCATATTTTGCCACGTGGAAATTGGGTCCCACTAAAAAAAGAAGCTAAAACGCTCCATTTCTTTATATTTTTTCTCCAACTCCATATCTTCTTCTTCTTTTCCGTTTCTTTTTGTAATTTTATTATTTTTCGTATTAATTAGTTTATTTATCAAATGCTGAAATTTAATTATTTTTAGTAGAATTAGCCGTGATTTAGTTTGGACAATTTTTTTATTAAATAAATTAATTTGATTTTTGAAATGTTGAAATTAAGTCAAATTAATTAAGTCGGTTTTTTTATCACTTTAATTTTATTTTATTTTCTATTTGGTTTTGGTCGATAATTTGATTTTTCAAACTTTGAAATTAAGTCAATTTTTTTATCACTTTAATTTTTTTTAATTTTTTGTGTATTTGGTTTTGGTCGATTAGAATATATATGATAATGTAAGAAATTGATCTAATTATATATAGGATCCTTCAAAAAATGTATGCATTATCTAAGAATTTAATTATTTCTAAGAAATATGATAAATTCGTTCCAACGATTTTATTTTTTTACAAAAAGTTAAAAATTTAGTTGTGATATACTATGTCTTGATGATGCTTGATTTAAATAAAAATAATCAATTTAAAAGACATAAGTTATTTTGAACATGAAAATTCATTCTTGACATTCTTAAAATAAAAATATAAATTAAAATACGAAGTAAATGCAAATAACTTGATTATTATAAAGAGAAACACCTGAATAGAACAAAAAAAAAATTAAAAATATTTATAACATTTTTTTAATTTAATTTTTTTTTATATATGATGAAAAAAGTTATATTTAAAAAATCAATGTATAATCTTTTATAAACAAACACAAAACAAAATATCTAAATTCTCATATTTCGTATATATCATTCTATAAAATACGAACAGAAAAATAAAAGGTTCAAGAAATTAATACGCAAAATTTTACAATTTTTTTATTTGTAATTTCATTACCTTCAATTTCTTCCATTTCATTCAAAAATTAATTCGAAATTTTCTCGCCACATTCACTTTATTTTTTCTCTCAAATAAATAATACCGTAAAATATGCATATTAGATATTTTGGGCAAGTCTTAAAAATTCTTTATAACTCTGACAAATGAAGTAACGTAGAGGAGGAAAAAAGAAAGTCGAAGGAATTTTTTTAAAAATGAATGAAAAAGAGTAAAGAGGATGAAAGAAAATGAAATAGTTAAGGTATGGATCCCATTTGTACATTTGGCAGCCAACAAAAGCCTCATACAAGTGGTTTTCTTTTTTGGAGGGAAATACAAGTGGTTTTGGTGCCAAAGGGACATTTTCGTCATTTAGCCGTGTCTTGGCAATTCGTGCCAAAATTCTGTCTTGCCAATTAGCAGTGCTCTATATATATATATACATGTTACTAATTTGAGTTGGCTTATAATGTCTACCGGTACATAGTGTTGGTATTGATGTTACTCCTTTACTTTTCTTTGATCCAGAGTCTTTTATGCGACCTTGTGTCTAGCACAACTAGTTGATTGATCTAAGGGGAGCTATTCCTAGCTAGGCTATCACATACCTTCTTGATGATTGATGTCTATTTCTTTTCGGACATTGTTTTACTTGTTTAGTTTTTGACTACTTTTAGAGATTGCAATAACTTTCGAATTTGGAGAAATATAACAATTAGATTCTGCACTTTATTTTATTTATAATTTTATAACTCTTATTTCATATCTTTAATGCTTATAAACATGTTAGATGAATTGATTATGTCATTGTTTAGTTGGTAAGATATGATTTGTTTCTTTGAGTGTTAGTGTGGGTGTTAATTATGTCGGTTTGAATTGTGACAAAATCACTTAATATGATGATTGAAATTTGTAGGTATTTGACAAAATTATTTTATCTTTCTAAGCTTTTAAATATTATGATGGAATCTCTAAAAAAAAATTATTAAAATAATATTTAAACATTTTATATAATGAAAAAAATAAAACTCTACACACAAATAAAATTTCATCCAACTAAGTAAATTTAAAATAATTTTAAAATGAACAAACGAACTAAAATAAAACTAAAATCTGTATATAACAATATCTTATAATTAGATAAAACTACAAATATTTTACGTGTTTAAAGCGCAACAAAATAGTTGCTAATAGTTAATACTCATCTTGTTGTTAAAAAGTTATTTGTGTTTAGTTTTCTATTTATTAAGTTTGAACGATACATATTTCAAGAATGTTTAGTTATTTACCCTTTTTTGAATCAAAGGTGAAAATAATTTTTCTAACAAAAATATGTATCTTATCTTCTTCTTAAAATTTCAAAATGAATACATATATATTTTTTAAAATAATTATATTGTACTAATAAGTTTTACTAAGATATACCTCATAAGAAGGGTAAGTATGGATAGGGAGAGTTAATTCCGGAATAAATTTTAAGTATCCTTTATTTCCTTGTTTGGTTGGAAAGCTTGGGATAACTTATCCCAGGATTAGGAATTAGTACCGAAATAAGTTATCCCTCCCATTTGGTGGTATAGTAATCCCGGGATAATCTATCCCGGGATAGAATAGGTAAATGACAACTATATCCCTTTAAACCCTTTGTATACATCATTTTTTATATTTATGTATATTTACATTATTTTTAATATCATGTATACTGATATTCATTACTTCTTATTTTTAGGATAATTATTTCTATTTTTCTATTAAAAAATTACACTATATAAATATAATTTTTATTTATGAATTTATTTGACTAATTCTTATGTTTATTTATATTTTAATTTCCCATAAATCTTCTTTCACTTTAATAAAACTTAAAGAGGGAAATTCTATTTTTAAGCTAAATAAGAAAAAAGCTATATTTTTAAATACATATGGTACTTACCATGAGAATGCATAAACAAAAATATTTAAGCTAAATAAAATAAATATTTTATTTTTAAAAATAAATAATTAAAGTTTGCAAAGAAAATATTAACTAAATAAAACGAAGGGTAATTTTGTAAACAAACAACTTGTTCTTAAAATGCAATATACATTGTTTTAATACAACAAACCAAACACTCAATAAGAAATAATCTTAACACAAATTTATAGCTGCATGCTCTAGTTTTGGCAAGTGTTTTAGTGCAATTTTGGTCAATTTTTTGGAGTTTTTGCTGTTATTTTTTTTTCAAGTCTTAATAGACGTTTTAATGCGATTTTTGTTACTAATTTGGTGGATTTTTTGCTGGTGTCTGAATTCAGATTTGGTTCAATTTTTGTGGTTATTTTTATGCAAATTTTGTCCAGTTTTAGCTGTTTTAATGCAGTTTTTGCATCTGGCTTGGTGTATTTTGGTCACTTTATTGTTGTTTTCTTGAAGCATTTTTGGAGTTTTGATCCAATATTTTTAGTTATTTTGATACAGTTTTTACTTCAAATTATGATTGATTTGTTTTTAATTAATATTTTACTTATGATAGGGAAGAGGAGAGGCTTCCCACTGGCCTATTCAATTCATATGAAATACAAATTTAAACATATTCACGTAATTTATTTGAATAAATAAAGCTACATAAAAAATACATATAAAAAGCCTAAATAAGATGAAGAGTATTTTTGTAAACAAACAACTTATTCTTAAAAAGTATGTCATGCATATTAGTTTTAATACAACAAACCAAACAGTCAATAAAAAACAATCTCAGCATAACTAATCACAACATAACTAATCTCATCATAACTTGTATTCAAACCAAACGACCCTTAGGGTCATACTCATGCCATGTGTTTGATTTTAAATATGAAGTTCGACATATTATATAGTCATTTCCTTTTTAAGAAGTTCGGAAGATACATATTTCAAAAAAAAATTTATTCTCTCTTTTATTGAATAAATGTTTTCAACAAAAATGTTTGTCCACTTAAATCCATAAGAATAAGTATATCGGAACATTTACCTTGTAATTTTAATCTTTTTCTAAAATTTTGTGATCATATATTTAGTTTAATTGTGAATATGCCTCATGGTTTTTTTTTAAAAAAAAACACTTAATATTTTTAATCGAAAAAGGAAACATTATGCAAACTAATATTTGTGTAAAATTTTCATGATGTAATAATATTTGACTAAGTTTATAAGATGATTAAATTGATCTATACACACTTTTGATTTTTATATGTATTTTTATTTAAACACAACTATTTATTTATATAATTAGTTTCAACACTTAATTTTCTTCAATATTTAAAAATAATGAGTTACTTACAATAAGCCCTAAATGGGTCCTTAATGTGTAGTTGAATAATACATAGTATCATAATGTAATTTATCAAAAGTCGTATGGAACTTTGGTTATTTTTTTCATTTAATTAGTGCGCATTTGGACATATTTCATATTGAAATTTGAACAAAAATTGAATTATATTTAAAAATTAAAATGGTGTTTGACTGTGAATGCAAATCGAGATTTCATATGAAAACACTTTTTATTATTTTTTAAATTTTAAAATTCAACTTTAAATTAGATTTAAAAATTTGTTTTTCCAAAAGCTTCCAAAAAAAATTAAAAAATTTCATAATCAAACGTCTCCCTAATATAAATACAAATATTGAGTATTATATTGAAGACGAAAGAAAGGAAAAGACGAAGATAAACCCTAAACCCTGAAAACGCCTCAACTGAACTGAATTGCTCTAAAAGAAGCTTAATTCTTCAGCCAGTTGTTGAAAATCTGTATAGAGAGAGATGGCATACTGTCGACAAAGAGATTTTATGTTCTGTGAAATGTGTGGAACAATGCTTGCTTTTGATTCACCCAAGTATGCTCGATGTCCCTTATGCAAATTCAAGAAGCGTGTCAAAGGTTTAATCTTTTTTCTTAAACTTTACTTGTCTCTGTAATTGAAGCAGTTCTGAAGCGTTTTACTGCAAATTCTTGCTCTAACATGTTAATTGATTAAGTAAATGTAGCATATGCCTTGTTTTTAACTTTCTTGCCCATGTTTTATTTGCTTAGTTAGTCCATGTTTGAAGGCATGACACTGGCAAACTGTGGCTAGATATTGATTTTAGAGCAAGGGTGTGTTCGGTATGACGAAAAATGTATTCTTGATTTTTTTTTAGGAAAATAAGTTGGTTTCCTATTTATTATCTTGTGTTATGTAGGTGAACAAAACATGTTGTTCTGAAAGCATTTGTGTATTATCTAGACAAATGTATTGTGAGACGCGGGTGTGGTGGGGATGGGGGCTATAGGGGTGAGGGTGGATATGAGGTGTTTTATTTGCTTAGTTAGTCCATATTTGGGGCATGACACTGTCAAACTGTGACTAGACATTGATGTTAGAGTAAGGGTGTGTTCGGTATGGCGAAAAATGTATTCTTGAATTATTATTGTTTAGGAAAATAAGTTGGTGTCTTAGTTATTTTCTTGTGTTATGTAGGTAAACAAAACATGATATTCTAAAAGTACTTGTATATAATCTAGGCAAATATTACGAGAGGCGGTGGTGGTGGGGATGGGGGCTATAGGGGTAAGGGTGGATATGAGGTGTGTTGGGTGGGGAGGATGCAATCAATGCATCAATGTGAAATGCTATTTATGGAACTTGTTTCCCTTACTTCCATTAGATTAGTCATTTTCCTAGAGATCATGTTTTCAAATTTTTTTTACCAACCCGAGCACACCCTAGATCTTTTATGTCCTTCACTATGAGGAAAAGAAGCACTGTATATCAAACCTGAGAAATTGTTAATAGCATCTTTTAATTGACAGTGGCAGGGGCTGCCATAGTTTGTTGAAGAAGAGTAAAGAGGCAAAGAAGCAGTGCTAATCCTCTTAATCCTCACGCTACAGATGTTTCTTGTATCAAGGGTGTTAAATAGCATATATACACCCAGTCACACATATTTTTAATCATGTTTTTTACTTCTGTAAAAACTGAAAATTTTCTGCAAGGGAATTCAATTAAACTCCCTTCTTACCATGTAAATTCACCAAATGGACTGTGGTGTGTGGATCAGGTTATGCCACACCTTACCTAATTCCATTGAAAGCTTGTTCCATCCCACAATAAATAGGTGTCAAGTATACACGTCCAACATGGATGGAGTAGATGGGCTCATACCGAGTGTTGTAGTGTAGGTCAGAACCTGGGTGCTCCATTATTTTACTCTTAGACCTCATCCACTCAGGCATCTTTGGTACTAGTAAAAAGCATGTTATTTCTCTGTGATTTGAGGGTGTCTTAGAGAGGCCAGTACAATGAAGTTGATACCTTTAGGGTAAAAATGGCTTGTCCAAGGTTCTTTTTGTTTTCTATTGCAGCTGGTACATGTGCCAACAAGTTGTTACCCGCTAATAAAGTGACTAATTGTAAAATTTAAGGTTAGTTTGCCATGATCGATTGAAAGACACAATAATGCTTTCATAATGATAATGAATTATCTGTCTATTTCTTCAAAATGAAGAATTTGTGAGATTGACTCATTGTATATTTGTCATCCAAAACACTGACTCATCTTATGTCTTCTGTTTCTTTTCACTGGAATTAAATATTCTTTTGTTGACAACAATTGTTTCTCTTGTTTGATTTTTCTAGAGATTGCTGGAAACGAGATACAGTATACCGTTTCTGCTGAGGTATGCTTTAATTAGTGCATGTATTGAGCTTTAATTAATGCATGTATTGAGTTGGGAATGAGAAAGCTGAATGTAATACAAAAGTCGCTAAAGAAACTGTTTGAAAAGTTTTTAATCCAATGATATTCTGGTGTTTAGAGTTCAGGAAATGTTTGTTCTGTCTTTTTCTTTTCTTCAGAAATAAGTTCTACGCAACTAAAAAGCATATAGTGGAAAGTCCATATCATACTAAGCATAGCCATGTAGTAGTTCAAGTATTCCATTTGATGTTAAGGAGTAATGGAGTATGATGTGGAATTGATTGTCTGATCATCTCCACCAACAGTAGTTTAAGTTAAAGTTTTGACAAGAACGGTGCTTGTCTGTGTGAGGATACGGAAAACTGCCTTCAAGTATTACTTGTAATAATTTACCCATCAGAATCTCTTTTTTAGTTTGTATTTAACCTCTACTCACCAGGTGCCAAGTGATTCAGATTACTTTTTGGGTCAATGTTAGCAAAGTAACATAATCACGTTCCTGTGCCCTGTCTATAATACCTACCCAAAGTTTTAAGCCGAACTCCTAAGAAAATCATCCAAAAGTGGGAGGTGGGAGGTGGGAGGTGACAGGTATCCATGGAATTAGTCGAGGTGCGCGAAAACTGGCACGGACACCTCGGTCATCCAGAAAAAACTAGAAAATCATCCAAAAGTTAAAAGAAAATGTGTAAAAAGAATGATCAACTTACTCACTAGCTTGACTTTCTGTAGTCTAAGAAGGCATCTGCTCTTCTTGCCGCCTCCTATTTCATAGTCTTTGCTACAATGTTCTCGTGTCCCTTGTTCTTCCCCTCTACTTGAGTCACTTCAATTTGTATAAATAATTTGGGTACACGTAACTTGCCTTCTATCCCATCATGTTTTCTCTAAGAGTTGTTTCCCATATTCTTTCCTTCAATTATTGTTGCTTAAGCTATTGTATAGTTTTTTTGTAGTACTAAACATGTTTTCTTAAACAGAGATGTATATTTTGTTAGTTTTTTTGGTGTTATCTGGTTATCGAACATTATGTTGATGAAATGCTTAGACATAAAAGAAGGATTGCACAACCTGTAATTATGCCTGATGCACTGGCTTAGTAAATAAATTTATAAAAACATTAATTACTTATAAAAAAAAAGTCCCCTGTAGATTGGCAAAAGCTGGTTCAAAGTTATGAGGAATGCCCATTAGGATCCAAGTTGCTTCGGCCTTTCCATTTCCATATATATTCTAGTTGTAGTTCTAAACTTTAGCATTTCATTTTCTGGGTTTCTGTGGGTACATTGGTGATTGTACTACTGAGAGTTGATTTGTCATTTGAGTCCTTATTTAAAAAAAGAGAGTTGATTTGAGTTTTGAGTGCTTGTTACTGCGACCAGTCAATTCTTTTGCTAGGATGGTCATTTCCTCAGTGTTGGTTTAAGATGTCCAGTTTCAGCTCATGCAAACTCATTTTGCATCCTAGTAATAGTAATGGTTTTGGACTCTTGCTAAATAAATTCATGCTACTCCAGTTTGAGGAATGGATCATTTAACATGTGTTCTGCATTAGCAGTTAGTAGTGAATGACAAGCTACATAGCATTACTACTCTTCTAGTTTCTTGGCATTCTTACTCATTTAACGGCATTGAATTCCCTGGAAACTGATGGGGAGCCCTTAAATTGTAAAAGCGTTGTTAGAGGAAGGAGGTTTCAGAGTTCACCTGCTGAATAATTGCTAGCAGATCAGGAGTGTATTTGCATATTTTCCCAATGGCAGCATGAGAGGAGAGAAGTTGAGGTGAGACTAGATGGGATTGCAGTGCCAAAATGTAAATAATTTAGATATATAGGCTCGTTTTTCTAAGAGAATAGAATTATAGATGAAGATGTTAGTCATAGGATTAAAAACTGGATGGTTGAAATGGAGAAGTGCTACCGGGTGTTATGTGATAGTGATACACTGATACCTACAAAGTGAAAGGTAAGTCTATAGAACAACTATAAAACTAGTTATGTTATATGATAGTGAATGTTGGGCTGCTAAAGTCTAACATATCCACAAGATGAGTGTTGTTGAGATGTGGATGCTAGATGGATGTGCGGTGATACCAGATTAGTTAAGATTAGAAATGACCTCATTCTTTGAAGGTGCAAGTAGCAAATATTAAGGATAAAATGCGAGAAGCTCGCTTGAGATGAGTTGGACATGTTCTGTGTCGACCTATAGATGCACCGGTAGGTGTGGAACAATGGTAAGTGAAGATGTTATAAGTGGACGGGGTAGACCTAAAATTAAATGGAAGGAAGTGGGCTCGAAAGACCTGCAATTGCTTAGTATCAATAGACTTAGCTAAAGATAGAGCACAATGGAAGAAAAAGGTCCATATAGGTGATAGCTAATAGTTGTGGATAGGTTTTTAGACTCGTATGGAACTTTTATTATTATCCTTATCATTATTATATATTTTAACGTATTTTTCACTTTTACTTTATTTATTATGATACGAGCTTAAACGACAATATGAGAATTCATGTAGCAGACTTCAACTTATTTGGGTAGTTGTATTTGAGCTGTCATATGTGGGAGTATAATTGATGCTGAGGAATTACATAGCTGACTCCAACTAGTTTGTGATTTAAGCATGGGCATTGTTGTTATGTTCGGAAAGTCTTAACTTCTAAGAAGTCAGAAGTGCAGATTGTGTTAGTTCACCCTATCTCTTATTTTAAGAATTCACCCTGTTATAAAAGAACAACATTGAAGGTATTTGTAGCCTATTTCAGTTGGGAGTGTGGGGAAGGGGTGACCGGGCTAATCTTAGACGAATGGTTACTTTTAAAAAAAAAATGAATTAGAAAAACTCCAACATGGTTATCGTGCTTGCATCCATAACTGTTATGGAGGTGTTTTACATATGCCATCACCTCCGGATCTCTTTTCTCACTCAAATAAGCTCATTTTTCTACGGATTATGTTGTATTTAATGGTTTAATATATTAGAAAATTGTGCTTTTGTCAACGAAATTGTGTCCATACACCAAGTAGCCTTCCTCTATCATTGCCTGGATTAAGAATAAATTTTGATCTGATATAAAAGAAAGAAAAATGGTGAAAATGGAGAATGGGAAATATTAGTAGGACGGGAAAGAATGCAAAATACATAGAGCAAATATATTAGACTTTAGAGTATTTTGACTAATGCCATGGGAATTATTCTGGATGGCAGGAAGCTTGTCTATGTTATTTGTCATTGTTGTGCTAACGTGTCTTTTCTGAGCATATATTTGTTGTTTTTGTAGGCTATTAGAAGGGAATTGGGCATATCTTCATTTGATGATCTTGAAGAAGAGAAGGAACTAAAGCAAATGGTTAGTACTTAGTACAGTTTGCAGTATTCAATAACATGCGTTGTGTTCACACGCTCTTTTATTAAAATGTCTGTTCTTATGGTTTACAGGATTATAATGCAAAATGTAAAGGTTGTCAGCATTTAGGCATGTCATACATAGCCAGACAGGTAAATCTTTCTTTACATTTGTTCATATTCTTCCCGGATCTTTGCCTTTTACTGCTTAGCCTTTCATGTTATACTGTTCTAACACTTTTTGGCTTCTCTGAACAGATTAGATCTGCTGATGAAGGGCAAACTATCTTCTATACATGCCTTGTTTGTGGAAATAAACAAACTGAGAACTCGTGAAAACACAGCTCTGCAGGTTTCCATGGTGAATGGAAGCTGTTTTTAGTGTATGCACATCCTTCGAATTTTGCTAGAGTTCATACCATATTATTGCCTGTATCTTTATGCATGGAAACACATGTAAAAATCCTACATTGTCTCCGAGTTCTGGAAATAGGATCTTAGTTTTCCCAGCTCGAACCAAAGTGAAAGGACATGCATATAATTCTTTCATGAAATGCTCTTGGCAAAGCTTCAAATATGCCTCAACCCTACATGTCTTGCATTTATTGTACACCCCGAAACCTGATTGTTTGCTGCATCTTGTAGCTTGGTGTTGGGGCCTTGCACTATTCCATGGGTAATATGTATGGATAGCATGAAAATGTTACCATTACTAGAAGGTTCTATTTAAATGAGTGTTTGTGTTAATTTAGTGTTTCTTTATAGATCGTGTATTCTAAAGTTACACACTTATATTTTACAAAGGTCCTGTTACCTCCTAAAACTATTCTAAAGCTCCCGTACTGTATTGTGTTTAATGGTGTAATGCACGTGGTCGACACTTGTATTTACCACTTGAAATCTTTTTTCTACCTACTTCCTTTCTTTGTTCTTTCCTTCATCCACTATCACACCACTGAAAAACTACCATTGCAGCTTCTATTCTCTCTCTCCCTTCATGTATGCAAAATACATTCCATTCATCCTTTTCTTCTCCATTAAAACGCCGAAGAGGGTGGTACATACTTCTTTTGGAGTGTTGGTGCTTTTAGGGGAGAGTTGTCTAATCTTTTTTAGTTGCCATTATAGAAGCTAAGTATAATAAAATCTCAATAAATTAATATAGTTGGGACGGTGAAATATTATTATTTTGTAGAGGTATTATTTAATTGATAAATTAATAATTATTAATTTATAGAGTGTTTTGAGATTCAATCTTGTGATGCTCGGATAATAAAAGCTTTCAAGATGTATTATCGGAACATATTGTATCATAGGATATTAGGAGGCTATGAAGTGGGACATGAAACTGATCCAAGAAAAAATAATGTTTTTGATGCTATGAATTTTGCAATTTCGACTTGGACGACAAATGTTGAGTTCGGAGCCAAAAGGACAACTTTTTTCTTTCAAAAAACTAAAATGGCACATCAAAAAAAAATTTAACCAAAAGGGCAAAACTGCTCCTTCAGGAGCAATTTTCTTCTAACAAAAGCTGTCGTACGTTAAAAAAACAAAAATCGCTGCTTTCTCAAAAAAGAAAAAAAAATTCTTCAAAATGGTTAAGAATTTTTTTAAAAAGTTTTTTAAAAAATTTAATATTCTTTTATTATTATTTATGATAAATAATTCAATTTTCTTCATGCTTCAACAATTTTATTGAGTATACTGTCGGTCTTGTTTATCATTTTTATATTATTAATAATTAACAATAGGCATGAATAGGCATGAAAATAACAGCACTAGGCATGAAAAATGTTGCCCCTGCAGCGATGTGTAAGGAAAAAAATAATTTCTGACTTAAAATCGTTGCCATAGCGATTTTTAATAAAAAAATAAAAAATAATTTTTTTTACAAAATCGCTGCCATTGCGTTAGAGGGAAATCGCTTCATCAGGAGCGATTTTGCCCTTTTGGTTTAAAAAAAAATTGATATGCCCTTTTGAAATTTTTGACAATTTTTGTCCTTTTGGCTCCGGACTCTTTGCTATTCAGCAAAAGACAACAACAAATTATTTTCGACACTACAAAATATATTTGGAGGATGAAATCTTAGAGAATTTGAATGAACTCACCCATTTGTGAAAACGTCATTTATGAACTTGTGGTCATGATTAATGATTTCGAGTAACGCAATAAAATGGACGTCAATAATCTATTGAATTATCCAAGTGAAAATGAAACATATTCAGTGGTCCAGAGCTTAGAAGAAATTGTAGATACCATAAAAAACAATGTTGACAATGAAATTGTAGATGATACAATACTTTTAGAACCAGTTATGCGTAAGGAAACACTTTATCGTATTTAGAACTCTTCACAATATTATGGTGCAGTTCGAAAAGACAACACCAGAAATTTTGGATGCAATAAGAAAAGTTAGAGATGAACTTCAAATTAATTTAAAGTTTAACAAAAAAAACAAAACACAATAGAATCGTATTTCACTAAATCGTCTTAGATATATTTGTACTTTTTATTAATTTATAATATTAATGAGACCATATATATATGTATAGGGGTCTTCTGAAAATATATTATCTTATTATCTTATCGAAATAAGTGAATTTTTCCATTGGCCCAAGTAGATTCGGAAGAAAATATTATCTTAAAGAGATTATTAATTTACTGAGTATTATTTTAGTGAGGTTTTACTGTATGTGATACTCAAATGACTCCCCTTTAGGCCATCTCCAACTCAATCCTCTATTTTACTCTCCAAATATAGAGTTCTCTATTTTTTCAGACAACCAACTCCAACTCAATTCTCTATTTTACTTTCTAAAAAGGAACTTTTTTCTCTCTCCTCAATATTATATTGTTATTTCTGTTTCATTCTTATTTTCTTATTTCATAATATAAATCCTTTATTTCTTTTTTCCCAAATAATTACTTTATATAATTTTTAATGTGATATAAAATTATTTTTTATTCTAAATTTTTAAATAACATAAATTGCAAGAAAATATAATATAATACATAAATTAGGGGACAAATTCAAATAAAGGTGACATGCAATTACATAAACACTCAATTTTCAAAATTATTACGTTGCTCGCATAAATGCTTTATGGAGTTCAAAATGAGCATTTTTGTCCTTAATTTTTTTATGTCTAGCTAAAAATTGTTCAAATCGGAGATTTTCATCTATCACCATTTCTATAGTTGGAGTTGGAGCCTCTACGACATCTTGAATTGGTGCATTGAGATCACGTTCATCCTCAATTATCATGTTGTGCAATATAATACATGTAGTCATTATATCATGTAGCACTTCCTTTCTCCAAAAACGTGACAGTCCTGCAATAATTGCAAAACGTGATTGCAAAACTCCGAATGCACGTTCAACATCTTTTCGACACGATTCTTGTTTCATCGCGAAATATTTCTTTTGTTGCGAATGAGGATCACAAATAGTTTGAACAATTGTAGACCATTTAGGATATATACCATCAGCTAAATAATAACCCATATCGTAACCATCACAATTGTAGTCACAACCACAATCACAACCACAATCGCAACAATTCTCGGAATCATATCTTAATTTTTTTCCGAATAGTGCTAAATCTGGAAACGACCTACCGAATTTCTAAATTATTGTTGTGATCAATTAATTATTATGTTATGTATTGTATTTTATCTTGTATTTAACTTATTATGTTATGTATTATATTGTATTGTTATCTTGTATTTAAATTATTATGTTATGTATTATATTGTATTGTTATCTTGTATTTAAATTATTATGTTATGTATTGTATTGTTATCTTGTATTTAAATTATCATATCATGCATTGTATTTATAAATTAAATTTTTTCATCTTGCCATTTTAATTTTGTGTATTCTTTATAATGAAAATTATTATTCACGAAAATTAGAAAAAAAATTAAAATACTATTAATTTGAAATTAAAATAGTATATATTAAATAATATTTGAAAATATTATATTACATTTAAAAAAGAATTATGAATATTAGATATTTAATTAATAGAATTATATGTAAAATAATATGTTAATTAGAAAGTAATAAAAATAATAATAAAATAATGAAAAAGTGAAATAGAGAGTGTGAATATGTCACTATGATATTGAGCAAGAAAATTGCAACCTAGATGAAATTATGGGAATTCTTTTATGTCATTTATATCTCAATAATGTATATGATATAATAGAATTTTGATAAAATATTGTGCCAGCATATTCTTTAGGATTCTAAGTGAGAAATATGTATAACATGCCCACTGAATTTGCAAGTTGGGTGATGCTTCTGAATCTTGAGGTCGATTTGCTTATGTAATTGTTTGGTGAATCATCTTTATGTGACCTGCTCTAGTAGTATCAATTATTGGGTACTTGTTTTGATGTTTTATATGGTAAATATTACTCCAGCTTGGTGGTTATGCTAAAACTACGTTACTTAACTGTGGTTAGTTAATGATAAAATTAAGTTGAAAATTGTTTAACCCTAAAGTACATGAGTTGAATCTATATGAGGTCGATCAAGAGAATGCGTCTCACTTTAACCCTTGTTTTTAGTTTGTTTACCATCGGTTTGACTATCGATTCAATGATGTATTAGGTGTGTAAGAGCTTGAACAAATAAAGCATGCAGATAAAGGATGAGAATATGAATCTAAAGTATTCTGGGGCCTCTGTGAACGTCCTCGAGAGGTTTCCCTCAGCTCCGAGGATGCCTTGAAGGTGATAAAGAACTAATAAGTAAAGCAAAAAGAAACATAATGCTTAAGAAAATATAGAGTGGTTGATGTATTGTTAGAATTCATATCGTCTTTATAATATTTTTACCTTTCTTGAAATGTGACAAGAAAAAGTGGATTCTCTTTTTGCTTTTACCTTATAGGTAATTCATTTTCCCCTAAACAACTTAGGGAAAAAGGGCTATATATAGATACTTAGATGCTTCCTTTTCAGTTTCAAAGTTTTTGCAGTGCTTTACTTTATTTGTCAACATACTTTTGCCTATATGATAAAGTATGGTCGTAGACTTGTGCTTATGCATCCATCGTGAGTAAAGGAGGAGGATTGTAGTAAGTTGACGACTAGCATAAAAGTTAATCTAACTATGATAATATATATATTAAAAATATACCAAAGTTATGAAATAGGATACTGATGAATCGTATAATTTGTCAACAAATTTAATAGGTCTAATATCATGTTAAGAAAGGGATCTTGACTTTAACTCAACTCAAAAGCTAGTTCAAGAGTTGAGTAATGAATTCAGAAGACGTATATTGCGGAGATAAGGATGTTGAGGTGAATGCGTGGGCATACTAGGAGTGACAAGATTAAGAATGAGGTTATTCGGGAGAAGGTGGGGTGACCTATGTGGTAGACAAGATGAGGGAAGCGAGACTGAAATGGTTTGGGCATATGCAAAGGAGGTGCCGACACCCCAGTGAGGAGATGTGAGAAGTTGGATATAGGGGATACGCTGAGGGGTAGGCCGAAAAAGTATTGGGGAGAGGTGATTAAACAGGACATGATGCAACTTCATATTACGGAGGACATGACTTAGATGAGAATGATGGAGGTTGCGTATTAGGGTAAAGGCTAGTAGGGGTAGAGTGTTTGTCTTGTCTTGTGAAGGTTTGGGGCATGTTATAGGACTAGTTGTGCCACTATAGTTATGCTATTATTGTTTTATTATTATCACATTATTTTGTTGTTAGTATTTTCTCTTGTAGACTTTACACTTGCTTTTTTTTTTTACCCCTATGCTTTTTCTATTGTTTTTTTCTTCTTTTACTTGGGTTTGTTACACTTGAGGCAAGGGTCTTTCAGAAACAACCTCTCTACCTTCACGAGGTAGTGATAAAGTTTACGTATACTCTACACTCTCCAAATCCACTTTGTGGGATTTCATTGAATACATTATTGTATTCGTCCCATTGACCATCACTATGGAACTCTTCACAAGTCCACATAACACAGAATTTTCTTTTATAGATTGTATATAAGAGAAAAAAGAATAACACTAATATAGGACCCTACAGGCTACAGCACTATTACCTTTGGCATTATTTTGTTTGAATTATTTTATTTTATTTGACCAGTTTCACCTAATAACAAGTTAAGATTATTTTAATTAGTGATATTAACAAAATGCTTCTTGAAAGCAATTTATATAAACAGTATTTTTGATAATAAAAACGAGAAAACTAAGAGACATTTCTTCCATTTGTCTCCTTCAATCTTTTTGGATGATGCATGCATTTGATTTAGTCAGACAGTCTTGTTAAATTTATTGAACTCAAATTTGAAAAGTAAGTTGTTAGAACATCCTAATCCAAAGTTTAAAAGGTTATCGAATATTTGTTTTGGTGCAGTGAGTTAAATGTGTTCATGAGATAATTAACTAGAATTTTTGAATTTAAATCCTAGAAATGCATTTTTTTCCAATAAGGAGCGCATCCCCTTAAATAGTGGGTCCTACCCCATGTGAATCAAACTTATCGGAGCAAATAGATTTTGAATACTAGATGATTATAAAAAATAATTGTTTGAATACTTTTATAATTGTTCTTTTAAGCATATGAAAGGAACCCATGAAGATTAGTTGTCTTGATTTTTGGGACATTTTCTGGGGGAAGTTGAAGGTGTGATCATTTTAAAAACATTGTGTCTCTAATTTATTCAAGTTTGGGTTAAGCGTTTATCATCATGTCAAAAGCTATAGATGATAATAGTAAAGGCACAATTTTATTTCTTAATCAAGTTTACGTCAAGCAAGCGCTATTTCGATCATAACTTTGACTCGAGCTACCTAGCCCCTCGTAGGCCTTGCCACAGGCAGGATGTTGGTATTACCCAACAATTCATCTCCCAACACCTGCTTCTAGTGTTTACTATCATGCCAAAAGTTATAGCTAATAGCAAAGGTGCAACTGTATTTCTTAACTAAGTCCACCAAGCAAGCGTCATGTTCAACCATGACTTTGACCCGAGCCATCCAATTTCTCGTAGGCTTTGCCATAGGCAAGATATTGACATTACCTAACAATCTCCCTCCCAACACTTGCCTCATGCAGAATGATCTCTTAGGGCTACACTTACAAAATGAATAAAAAGTAACAATATTTTCATATATGTTATGTGTAAAAATGAAAATCTATTATAAAAAAATATATTAAACTAATGACAAATTTGTAAAAGATTACAAAATCATTCGTCCCCAAGTGTTTATGTTACTTCTTTTTTATATATTTTCTAATTATCATAGGTGTTGGCCCCAATTATATTTGTGTAACAAATAGGAGATGGTGAACCTTAACAACTAGCTTTGCTGTGATATCAATATTACAGCTGTGTACACAACCACCAGAGGAAAATATTCATCATCCTACCTAGTCTACATTAATTCATTAAAAAGAATAAAAGCCATAATAACATGGTAAAAGTAGTAAAAATAATTTACATCATTGATGTATTTTAATTTTTAACCTTGTAGCAGCTTGTCTTTTTATTCAAGTTATTAATTTGATTTTTTTATAGACAATCAGATATAATTATCTTTTAGATTATCTAATCGATTAGGCACAATTTTATATATAAATTTATCTATGAATATTATGTATTTTTTTTAAAAAAGGACACTCAAGTATTATTATTCAATAACTACAAGTACTAGTAGGTTTACTACACAAAATTCCTGAGACTGCTTAATGACACCATTGCACCAAAAAAAAAAACCATGCAAAACTTAAAATACAACAATTAACTTTTCAATCCCATCCTCACCCGACCGGAACAATAACAATATATTCAGTGTGATCTCATAAGTGGAATCTGGAGAAAATAGTGCGTACGCAGATCTCACCCTAATCGCCTTATATAATAAGGTAGAGAGCTATATTTCTGATAGACCGTTGGCTCAAAGAATTTGTGTTTTCTCGTCCCATCTTCAGTAGCTTTCTCGTACCTTAATTAATTACATGATGGAACAAGCATTAGGATTGTCATCACTAAACATGTTGACATAGGAAGGGTCATCATATCTCGCAACAGTACCCGTGGTTGGGTACTGATCGACCCTCCTGACGAAGCCAGGAGGCGCCTTTTTGTCATAAGCTTGAGCAGCATATGGTTGGGATACCAAATTGTAAGGGACATAAGGCCATATCTCTGCCTTCTTTCCAGTTGACTTTGCCTTCTTTAACACTTTGTTTGATTCCACATAGCCTGTTACTGTCACCTTCTGTTGTTTCCTGTTTATCTCCACAGATTTCACTCCTAAATATTTAACAAACCAAAACTTATTATCTTTGATAAAAAATAAATGATCTTAAATAAGTCATAATATACTTTTCCGTCCCAATTTATGTAGAGCGTTTTGGATATTCAAGAGCTATATGAAAGAAACTATGAGTTGCAATTCTTCTCATGTCAATACGATGAAAGAATAAATTTTGTTTACATAGTTTGAATCTCGAAAAGTAAAAATTACGTCAACATAAACTATAGGATAGAGGGGGTACATTTTTGTAGCTATAAACCATACTATTAAGAGTAAACTAAGAAATTTGAAGTTAGATTGATTGTTTCTAAATATATATTTGAAGATAAATTTTTAAAACGTAGGACATAACGCTAGCTAATTAAGAAAACTTACCACTCATGGAAGATAATGTATTTTTGACTTTCATTTCACAGCCCTCACAATCCATTCTAACTTTAAGCTCCACTGTAGTAAACTGCTTCTTCTTCTTCTTTGGCTTATCAATACTCATCATCTCTGATATATACTCTAATGTTCCTCCAACGCCCATTCTTTTTAAATTTAGAGGAATTAAGAAAATGGTGTAATTATGAGTTAATTTATAGTAGCTAAGTGAAATTAAAGAGATTTTTTTTTTAAAATGTGGGGAGTTTGTAAGAAACTTCCTAATTGATTCTTGCTTAGCACACAAATTAGCTTAATTGATTAAGAAGAAAAGGGAGAAATTAAAGCAAAAGGGCTACTAAACTTTTCTTTTATTTTTACACTTGCCAGCCTACCTTCTTTTATAGACGTTTTTTTTATACCTTTTTCTAAACAGGTTCAAAAAGACAAGGATGGCCCCCCGGGGCCGGTTAGACAACACACTGAGTACTGTTTGGTACGAAGGAAAATATTTTCTAAAAAATAAGAATATCAAATATTTGATGATAAGATCATAGTAAGCTAAAGTACCAACGGAGGATAAATCTAAATAAATTTTGTATACTAAGGCATAGTTGGACCTTTACCAAAAAAAAAAAAATAGAGAGAAGGATTGAAAATATTCCTAAACTCGATGTAAATTATTAGTTTTATTTCTAAAGTATTGACAACCTTTAAAACACCTCTTTACTTGATTAACTGATGATCTTGCAACTTGGGTGAAAATACGTACTCCTAAATCCTTGCTAAATTTAGGGATCCTTTCAACACGTCTCTCGGCTTTTTATTAAGAGACTCATGCTTTTATAAGAGTTTGAGACTACTTACTATATCATGTTGCATATCGAAGGTGTATTTAAATTTAGTTAGTCAAATAGAGGGTGTTTTTTAAAGCAACCAATAGTTCTGGAACAAAATTAATAATTTGCGTCAACTTCAAGTTAAAATAATATATATATATATATATATATTAGAGGTTGTATGGAAGGTGGAAGAAAGTGTGGGCCACGGTAAACCACCAATAATAGAGAGAGTAGCTGTTACGTGTTTCACAAGGACAGGTGTCAATATCATAGATTTTTCTTTTGAAATACAACGGTCAATGTTAGGGATCAGAGGGAGCTGCCTTCATTTTTATTTTATTTTTCATAGGATGTTCAATATCCTCAATGGAGTTCAATTAAATTTAAATTTATATTAGAAAGTTTTATAGTGAAGTCCAATTAAATTTAAATTCATGTTGAAAAGTTTTATATTGAGGTAAAACTTTCCATAGTAAAGACGAATCCGTATTCAGGAGGATTCAAAGTCGACATCTCTGATTTAAGAATAACAAAGTACTTACCACTCCTCCACCACCGTCCTCGTTAGTGTCTTCATTTTCTATTTTTGGTTTGAAATAAAGGAGTAGTTAGGAGTTGATTTTGACGTGTTTGTGTGAGTTGTTTTTTTGGTTTTTATTTTTGGCGCCTTCTTCATGCTTAAACATTTTACTTTCCCAACGACGCTCTAAGCGTGTTACCTAAGGGTGTGTTCGGTTTGAAATGCTTGGTTGATCAAAATATATTTTTATACGAAAATTTATCTTTCTTTTTCTATACTAGGACTATTTATTGGGAGGATCATATGATTAATTATGCTTAACAGTTCCACTTATCGAATATTATATCCTATTTCACATATTATACATACATAATTTTAAAATTTTGTAGCATTGCTTTCATGGTCTTACTCTTGTGATAATTGATAAAGCTTTATTTTTCTTGATATAATTGTATAAATCACTTCCACAAATGTCGATAAAGATAAGTTGATAACTATAAACACGGAGTTTAATTTGCTAATTGGTTGTCGACTTGAGTAGTTATCTTTTAACAAAGACATTTTAGTTAATTTAAGTATATAAGATATTTTATATGATAAGTAAACATAGTGGCTACTTAAATCCAAAGTAGTCATTTATCATATTTAATAACTCATCTTTATCAACCTTCCTGTATAAGGAATAGTTTATTAAAAAAATAATATATCATGACATATCACTGATGGAAAGACCTCCATTTCAAACTAATTTTAATTATTAAGTATTTCTACTTTCACTTTTACTTGTTCATTTCGAACTCTGTATATCTTTTAAGAAACAATAATTGATATGAATATTTATTATAATATTAATATTATTGATGTTTAGTACTACTAGATACGTACTTTCATCACCAAGTAGAGCCGTCAATATGGGCTAGGCCCGTTGGGCCGACCTGGCCTAACCCGGGATTTGATAGGGCTGAGATACGATTTTTTGAGCCCATTTAAGAAAAATATTTTTTAGCCTGGCCTGAATAAGTCTGCCGATTTATGGGACTTGAGAAGTATAGATAGAGCCGGCCCGTGGGCCAAATAGAAATTAATTAAAACAATAAAAATAAAATAAAGTATTAAAAATAACAAGAGTCTAAACTCAAAATCAGTTTAAAGTTTGAAATATTACAATTTAAATACAAATTATGTTTAAAAACTATGTATTTCGTAAAATAAAAATTCTCTAAATTTTTTAGGAATCACTACATAGGCCGTAGCCTATGGAATATTGTCATAATTTTTGTATTTTATTATGATCATAGAAAAACAATTAGGTTTATATTTTTATTTAGCTATTTATACTTTAACTTGAAATCAAACTTAATAAATATTATAAAGATAATTTTATTTGTGGATTTGATTAACAAGTAGTAACACTAACACCATGTAATATTATATTGTCGATATTTATGATAATATTTTTAAATTATAATTTAATTTTAAAAATTATAAAAAATATATTTTACAAAAAGAGGGTTGACCCGGCAATCCCATAGCCCACGTACTTGTGGGCTGGGCCGACCATTTTCTTGCCCACACCAAAAATGGGCTTGCCCGACCTGACCCGTCAAATTTTAAAGCTTGTATGGGTTAGCCCAGATGGGATGAGTCAGCCCATATTGACAGCTCTACAATCAAGTGAAAGAACCCAGTGGATTTTTTATTTTTTTAAATAACCAATCATAATATGCTTATCAAATACAGATAAAATTATTTCTCAAAGAAATTGGTCAAATATAAATCATTTTTTCGTAAGAAAACCCTTTTTTGAAAAATATTATTTAAAATAAAATAATTGTTGAAAATTTGACCGTAATTTCATTTCCAATTATTTGAAGGAGCGGATAGGAAATTGATTGACAAGATGTTCTCTATTTAAAAAAAAAAAACAAAGTGCTTTTGAATTACATTTACCTGCCCTTGGTTTGTCATAATTACGAAGTGCGCACGAGTCACGATTAGATATATACAATACAAATCATGTTACTCTACAAGAGCGCACAATTATTTATAGACTCTCGACTTAAAAGAATTTTTTTTGAAATATGGCCTGGAAAAAAAAAGTTAACAACAAATTTGTGCTAAAGACAAAGTAAATGAAGCAACAAATATAGTACACATTGGATAATAAGAAATTATCTGATTACTAAATAATATTACAAAGATAAGCCCCCCCCCCCCCCCCCCTCCCCTCCAACATAAAATGTGATAATATTCGACTACTTACTAACATTCTATCCTAATTTTCGACCTTCATATTTTTCTATCTAGGGTCATATCCTCATTAAGCTAAAGTTGTATCATGTCTTGTGTAATCACTTCCCCCTAGTTCTTCTTCATCATATCTCTACCTCTCTAACTCATGTATGAAGGTCAACCGCTCACACATCTGTACTGACGCATCCATGACCCTCTTGATCTTCACATGACCGAACCATCTCATGCTCGCTTTCCTAGGCTATTCTCACCTTGTTTCGTATAACTTTATTCCTAATCAAATATCTCCTAGTATATTTACACATCAATCTGAGCATCCTCATCTCCGCTATATTCATCTTTTTAATGTGTGCATTCTTGACTGGATAAAATTGTCACATAAAACAATATCGGCCTAACAACCGCCCTATAGAACTTATCTTTAAGTCTTGACGATACATTCTTATCGCAAAGTACTCCGGATGTGAGCCTTTATTTCACTCATCCTGCTCCAATATGACGTGTGACATCATCATCAACTTTCAGTCTCCTTAGATTATGAACCCAAGATACTTAAAACTTCATCTCTTGGGTATGACTTGTGCATCAATCTTCACTTTCACCTCCGCACACCTCAATATGTGTTACACCACTGAAATACACTTCAGATACTCTATTTTGATCCTACTTTAATCTGAAATCTTTAGACTCTAAGGCATGTCGTCTCCATACTTTCAGATTATATGTTGTTAACTCTTCCACACGTCTCGTCAATAACAACATCATGATATACCCACCTTGAATTGAATATGTTGTGTCAATTACTAAGGCAAATAAGAACGAGCTAAGAATTGATCCCTAATGTAATTTTATCATGACCGAAAAGTATTTGGAGTCACCTAGCACTGTTCTAACCTAAAATACTACAATGAATGCATGATTTAAAGTTTAGTATAAAAAATTCTACAAAAATAAACAATCAATCAAATATCGAATTTAAAATTTATGAATTACTACAATAATTTTAAGTTATAATACCTTAATTAATTATATTTATACTCACAATCAAATATTTAAATAATTTTTAAATATACATTCAAAATTTGAACCAAAATTATTGAATCCACATAAATTCTTTATCAATACACCATATATCCAGCCCTGGAAATAGATAATTGAACTCAAGACCTACCATTTGTATTTTAGCACCTTTACCACTAAACTCTTGGAGATTTATAATTTTTAATAATAGACATTACCAACATATATTATGAGCAAAAATTAAAGTATTCACCGTCTTTTATTATTTTATTAAATTAGGCAGATGGGAACTCTGAATTAAACACAATTTAGCTTCCTACATACTTGGCAGGTACGTGGAACATAAAAGGAAAGGAAGATAGAAAAGGACAAAGTAGCCAAAAGACCAAAAAGTAATGAGGTTATGGTTATAATATTAAGGCATAATAATTAATAAGTATACTCTTTAATTTAACCTTATTTCATATTTATGTCCTTCAAAGTGTGATCTTTACTTCTGCCCAATTCTCCCCCCTCTCTTTAAAAAATAGAAAAAGGCTATTTTCATTTTTCAGCTTATTAATCCTATTACGGAGCGAAGATTCAAAACCTGAATTGTGAGTCACGGGCCAAGACTCCAACAGGACCTGGAGCGCAAACGAATCTTTCGAGGAGAAGTTTGATGGGTTGGAAGGACCCAGAAGAGGAAGTGGCTGCCCTCCTCCCGAACCAACACTTAAAACAACAAAA